AGCCCAGCCTGGGCAACATAGTGGGATCTCTCCCCATCGCTAAAAAATTAAAATTAAACAGCAACAATGGGTCACCACCACATATACAGTTTCCCAAAGGGCTGAGATCCTGAAAAATATTATCTTTCACAAATACAGATGCAGAAAAAAAAAATCCCTTTATTTACTGAGGAAGTTTCATGGTTCTTACATATACACACAATGCTTACACACAAAGTCAGTGTTGTGAAAATGCACTTTCATGGAATCAAATTAAAAAAATACATAAAACAAATTAGAACTCTCTAAAAGCTCATACAATTTATACCTTTAGTTTTGGAAATGCAAAGATGAAACATATAGCATAGTGAGTTGTAAAAAATAATGCTGATGATTTAAAATGGTGAGAAAAAAACTTTCGAAAAGGAAAACAAAACCTTCCCAAAGAAGCTAAAAAGAAAATTCATATTGAATTTCATATATTATGAAAAAGTGTATCACAGGGATAAAGTATGGGCAAATGCACAGAGGTAGCCCATAAGAGCTGGCTGACTTCCACGATCATTAACTCTATTCTGAAGTCTTACATGGAGATGAGTAACTTTCTTTTCTTTTAGAACATGGCTCTTCTTGAAGAATACATTCACATTGATTTTCTACATGATGCTGCACTTTTTGAAATTCTAATTTGATTCAATATACACCGACATGAGCATTTCCTATTAAATTTCCCATCTTCTGTGTCATTCTATGTTGTTTTGGGTACATGGGAATCCATTGCTCATGCACTCATATACAGACCACAGACTTGGCTGAACAGTACTGGTGATCAAACAGCAACACCATTGTGTGCCTTCTTATCCTACCATGCACATAATTATTTCAGAATCAGGCCAATTCTGGCTTTAATTCATCAAGAGCTCATAGAATTTCATCAGCTGGAAGGAATGCCAATGCAGACAAATAATGCGTTTTAGACTAAAGTTTTCCCTGTTACCATATTCCACAGGCAATCCACTCATCTGAATTTTCCGGCAAATGTATTGGGCTGAACAGAAAAAGAAACTGTTGGTAACACCTTGAAATCCACTTTCAGAAGTTTTGATTGCACCTAATTCCAAATTTATCATTATAGTTTGATAATTCAATTAGATGTGAGGGAGTTTGTTCTTTGGGGATTTCAACATTCAGGATCGTGGCATTTGGGATTGTGTCTTCAGGAATTATAATCAGCGTTACACAAGGTGCATATTGGTGAACTGGAGAAAATAAGCCTGAAGAAGTAGGTTGGGATTAAATTCATGTGCAACATTGACCTTTGTTCTATAAGGTGAGGAGGAGCCAATAAAGATTATTAGAATAGGAATTGACATGATCAGATTTAATATTTAAGAACTTCATCTGACAGCAGTAGCTGAAGAACTGCTGACCTTACTAGCCAATTAGAAGGCTTTTGGAACAAGTTAGATGAAAAATGACAAGAGTCTAAATGAAGGCAGTAGCCTTAGGTCAAGGAGCTAAGTATGAATTTGTGTGCTTTCGAAGTGGTGGTATGCCTCCCCTAGGGGCAACAATTGACATTCAAACTTGACATTCAAATCTGAGCTTTGAAGACATCTGAAGTAGACTGGTATATTCAAGAGCAATTTTTATTCAACACACAGAAAACATATTAGTCTTATCTGGAAGATAATTATTCATTTTACTTTTAAAATATTTAAAATGTGTTAAATTATTCTCATATTAGTAATTATATGTGCTATAGTACTCCAACTAGTATATTAAATATATTGCTTTGGACTGTAGTTCAATAGGTTTCTTAAAACAGTGATAGAATTATTCACATAAATTTCCATATGTATTAATGCAACATTGTTTATAAAAGCCATCTTACCCATTAATGTAACTCTGCCACGATTTATGGAGATGCTCCTGAAAATTTTAAATGTGATACCTTGAGGAGAACATATTAGGTCCTGAAGGGAGTCAACTGACTGATGATCAGAAATTCAAGAACATTGCTAATGAGCAAATTTAAGTCAACCAATAGGCTTAGGTTATAGCTAATTCGTTCATTCACTCATTTATTAAGCACCTGCGCACTATGAATTAGAAGGCAGACCAAGTGCTATAACAGAGGCTCAGTAGAAGTGCTATAACAAACGCTTCAGTAGGCAACTCAAAAATAGAAAGTTCCACCTCTCAGAGAGCTCAAGAAAGAATTATCTGAGCCTTCCTAATTATGAGCTTGTCAGTCAAATAAAAGAAGAGAAGACCTGTCATACATAGGAAATAACACGTGCAAAAGCCCACTGGCAAAAAGTTTCCTGATCAATTCTCCAACTTGGGAAACCCTGAGAACCAGAATAAAGAATAAATGAGAATAGAAGCACAAGATAAAACACATTATGCCATGATAAGAAGTCTTGATTTTATCCTATAGGAAATAATGAGGCACTGAAGAATTTTAAGCAGCAGACAAATGTGACAAGATTTGGATTTTTAAAAGATCATGCAGTACAGGTTACAGTGTGGAAAAAGAACTAGAGAGGGTAAAGAAAGTGAGTTGGCCCAGAGCGAGACAGCCAATTAGAAGGCGGTTAACAGCAGTCAGGAGCAGAGATAATGAAGACCTGAATGAAGGCAAGTGATGGTGGAAATGGAGCAAGTGGTAGGGAAATCTATCAGGGATGTAAAATCAATGAGATGTCACGATGAAGGGCGTGAAGGAAAGGGAGAAAATGAGGATGATTCCAGGTTTCTGGGTAGCCTGCAGAATGATGTCGCCATTGACTCAGATAGAAAATATAAGTGGAGGGGCAAACCAGCAAAGGAAAATTATTTTAAATACCTATTACTCTGGGTGTGCCACTCAGATTAAGAAAACCTGCCACAAGGAGCAGCACTGCAATACTGCCCACTGCTGCACCTATGGCTCCTGGGAAACCATGCCCCTCCTGGAGCTGCCTGCTCAAGCCAGCCGGTTCCTGTTCCATTTAGGACACTCCTCTAGTGGGCAACTCCTGCTCAGGGATTTTCACGGTCCACCCAAGACTTTTTCGGAATTGTGTTGTAGGTGGAGACTCTTCCCACCCAATCTGTCTTCACTCTCTCCTCTCACGGGCACTGAACCCACACTGGGCTCTGCAGGCTCTCCTTGCCTATTTCTGTTTTTTCCTTTTTCTCCACAAACATTTACCCCACTAAATCCCTTACATGCTTAGCCCCATTTCGGCATCTATGTCTTGAAGGCCGTAAAATGACACAAGGTAGTCAGTAGGATGTCAAGTAAGTAGCAGATATGACAGACTTGGGAGTCATTGTGAGCAGAAATCACTGAGCCTTTGGGCAAGGATGAATCTTGCCCAAGGCTTCAGGCCCTCGGGTGACCCCGCTGTCCTATAACAGATTGCTACATGTGCTAAAGCTGAAGAGAGGCTGTTGGCATGAGGCAGGCAACATAGGATATTTAGAATAGTTAATGAGGGTAAGGTTTCAGACATTTTAGATTATAATATAGCCTTAGAAACACATAGAATATTTAGCACCCACCATAGCCCTAATTTTAATCTGTGTATAAATAAGTGACATCCTATAATTCTTGGATTTTCATGCCAGTGTGGAAATATGAGCATTGAGCTATGGGTTTGCTCCATCCTTTCCAAGCACAGGATTCTAAGTATAAAAGAGTTAGGGCAGGAAAAGTCAATATCCTTCAGCACTTGAGAACTGAGTGTTCCTCTACTTGGTGATGCCTTTCCAACCAAATGTCACCTGATCCACTCCAAGGGCACATCCTCAATCCCCTTAGCTCTGTGTGTGTGAACACATTTTTAAAACTTTAATTGGCTATACAGATGATTACAGAGTGTATTTGTTCGTGTCGTAAAACATTTTAATCCTAGTTCCATCCCAACCTTACCTTGAACTTCTTCCATTTCCTTTGTAATTTGCCAAATTATCTTTTGCACAGTTGAAACAAGAGTTGTTACTAATGGTAATGATAATGATGTAATTTTATTCACAAACCACACAGAAATTGCATCTTAATTCAAATCATCTAAATGGCTGGGTTCTCTAAGTGATCAACTTAAATGGTTAGGTTTGCAAGAATCACTTGGTAAAACTGTTCGTGTTTAAGCCAGGTAGGCTGCCAACACTGGGCATACACCCAGCTCTCTTGGCCGAAGGGTGTGCTCTCCTAGGTAGAAGCCACCTGGAATGGCCAAAAACAGAAAAACCAGGACTATAGTATTTAGAAAACATCTACAGTGTGTGCAGATAAGGAGAGAATAAAAGAAATCAAGATAGTTAGATTTCTATTACAACTGCTCTATTAAAAACCATTTTTCTGTCTGTCAAGAGTGTATGTGCACTTTTGATCTCAAGAAAATGCAGGCAGTTACATTACATAACCCATGCAAAGTCACGCTTGATATTTGAGACTATATAAACATGGTAGTTCAATTCCAAATAACCACACTGGTAGTAGAATTCAAACTTTATCTCCTTACATCCAGAGGTCAAATTACATTAATAGTTAGAAGGACCATAAACTCAGGCTACAGATGTTTGTACAGCCTAAATTCACCTTTCATCCAAGTACTAGTAAAAACTTACAGTTTTTACATAAAACTATTTTCATCTCTCTTGCAAGCTTCTTATCTGAAATAAAATTTACTTGGAAATCACATCACACATTTAGTGTATAGCACTTGAGAAAAAACTGTATTCCTTATGAAGATCAAAAATCCTGTATATGCTTAGTAAGCCTATATATTTAATATATTCTGACAAAAGTATCTTGAACATACCATCAAGATCGTGCTACAGTAGTAGACATTAAACATTATTCAAGATGTTTGCAGGCTTGCAAATATAAACCAAGACATAATAGGCCACTGAAAAAAGTCCCAACTCCCTTTAAGACATTAATGAATACTGCAAAGGTAAGACTTTATATTCTATTGGTTGTTTGTCTTCTTAGAATTGGTAAGTTACATAAACATAAAATGATTTACCTTCTTGAGCTTCTGAATCCATCAAGTAATGAAAGGATGGTTGGCGATATATTGATGTTTTCTTTATCATTTCTTGAAAACTGGATAGATAATACATTAAAAATATCAAATGGTAATAATTAATTCAAAATCTGTATGGGGTGCTTTTATATTTTCCTAATAAGTTTAACTTCAGATATAGCAAATTGATATTAAAATATTATATATTAACAAAGCTGACTTAAGAAAGCCATCTATACACTATCCAGAACAAATTAAAATCACAACAAAGGTTGCTGGAGTCAGAAATCTTGAAAGTCTGCTAGAGAAAGAACACATATTTTTCACCAGAGACTACCGCAAATGTAACAAAGAAAGCCATCATCTTCATATTGACTCGCAAGATAGCAATCCTAAAATCGATTAAATTGATTAAAACATTGAAAGTTCACTTGTTCCCATCAATGCATCATTAGCACATATGCAATGTCAAACAGCCTCACTGCCAGATCATCTTTGAGCAGCATCTACCTTAAAGAGTCCAGACTATCACAGCCAATTTGTTTAAAACTGAAGGAACTATTTATGCCTCTAAAACAGAGCAGATTATCTGATTAAACTTAACAAACTGTTATTCAAACTTTAGAAAATAACAATTTGATGTTTTACTTCTCAATTTGGGGTCAAATAACTATTACAGTACCGTGCATTAATACAGCACTCCTTTCTTCCAAGAAACCCAGAGCACTTTTCACAGCTACATTTTCTTTTCCTGAATAGTTCAGTAAGTTAGAAGACATTATTATTTTCCCTACAGTTTGCAAATCAGGAAAACCAAGGTTAAATTATGTCATTGAGGCTACATAGCTAAAACGATAGCAAAACTGGTCACATGCTTTGCTCCCAATTTAGATCTCTTCCATTAAAGGAACAGGTCTTCATTATACGTGCCTGCCTTCAGGCTGATATTTAAATGGAAAGCCTGGACGTACCTGAACAAGTTAGCTGAGTTTCTAGAAGGTCAAAACACGTCATCCACAATTTTTGTTTGCTGCTGAGACCTCTGGTAGTGACTGAAGGGCTAGCACCAAAGCACACATACTACTGTACATGCTGGTAACAAGTCCAAGCAGAAGGGATTAAGATCCTGACAGCTACAGCTTCCGTGCCTCTGGTTATACAGCAGTGAGGCTGGAATGCCCGGAACTAAGTGGGCAGAAGGCTAGGAATATCCCACATGAGTGTCTCATGAACAGAGCTAGAAGTGAATACAACCCACTCCTGGAAGTGAGCAATGAATATTTGGCATGATCCAGCTTTTATTTTAACTTGGATGCTAAGAATTATTCTAAGACTCTGTGGCTATGACATCCTAGGAAATGAAGGCCACGTATTTTTCATGTCACTTACCTGCGTGGGAACGCTGTTTAAGATGCCAACAACCACACCAGAATGTGTACAGTATTGGTCTGCACCCAGGACTCAGACTACCATGATTCCTTCCTATTCAGACTGAATGGGTAGGTTGAAAATGGGCATGTAGGTGTGCCTCTCAGAGGACACACACATTTCCCATGCCACTGGAAAGATCCTTGATAGAAAATTACAGAGTTAACGATACAAGCAATATTGTAAAGTTAAACTTAGGGATGTGACTACAGGTCCACAATGTATACACAATTGAATCAAGGTCAATTAAAGTATTGGAAATGGCTAGTTGGGAAATCTGATTTTAGTTATTCCTGCCTATAATTAGACTGTGATTTTAAGTCATTTACTTAGTATGTTTCTTGGTTTCATCATCTATAAAACAAGGATATATCAGCAGGGTACCCTAGCCTTTGGGAGGTTTTGAGAGGCTAAGGCAGGAAGATCATTCAGCCCAGGAAATGGAGGCTGCAGTGAGCTGTGGTCACTTCACTGAACTCCAGCCTGGGTAGCAGAGCAAGACCCTGCCTCAAAAAAAATAAAAATCTTTTTTAAATGATATAAAAGTCATACAACCTCTATTTGTGGGGTGAATATTATAGGTAAAAACATTCTGGAAAGTTCAAAGTCCTAAACAATACAAACTATTATTCATAGGAAGTTAATTTGGGGCAGAGGCTACTCTCTCTTTTCGGCTTTTTAAAAAACAAGAATAAATGATGAATAAAAACCATTGTGTTTTTAAAAGATTTTTTGGAGAGACCATGCAATCCTCACTGTTAGATCTCTTAAGAGGCATAATCCTTAATTCAAGCATCTTAACCAACATGATGACAATGATCACTTAAATTATACTGAACTGTTTAACAAGTACATAGACTTCTGCCTCCAGATATAAGTAGCTTATAGCAGACCTCAGCTTCTATTAAGAATGAGAAAAGCAGATTTTTACACACACACACACCCATACACCACACAAACATGCCTCTGTTATAAAGTATCTGAGAGCTATGAAGGCAGCCAAGAATTCCAGGCATTGCTGTTTTGCTGCTTCTTGAGGAAGCCAAAGAGAGAACCACCTGTAGGGATAGCAGCGGAACTTCAGGCAATCTCAGAACTGCGGAAACAAAATAAGATTGTTTGTGGCCGGGCACAGTGGCTCACACCTGTAATTCCAGCACTTTGTGAGGCCAAGGCGGGCGAATCACGAAGTCAAGAGATCAAGACCATCCTCACCTACGTGGTGAAACCCCATCTTACTAAAAATACAAAAATTAGTTGGATATGGTGGCAGACACCTGTAATCTCAGCTACTGAGGAGGCTGAGGCAGGAGAATCACTTGAACTCGGGAGGTGGAGGTTGCACTGAGCCAAGATCGAACCATTGCACTCCAATCTGGAGACAGAGTGAGACTTTGACTAAAAAAAAAAAAAAGTGTTTGAGGCTGCCAAAACAGCCAGAATTGTGGGCCCAAGATCCCAGTAAAAGGGACAGAGAAGCCTGACACTTAGTGCTGACTTTTCACTCAAAATGTTTACTGCTTAAGCTGTTTAGGGCAAGAGGCTAATTTTTGAAGCATTCAGTGACAAAAGCAGATCCAAGCACAAAAGAAACATCAGGGTACTCCTGGAAAGCAACTTTCCTGGAATGTGGGAGAAAAATAGAAGCTGAAGTCTTTACAGAAAAAACTGCAACCCAGCCTTGAATCTACTTGATTCTGGCTGGCGACATTGAGGTGATCTTCCCTTCTGCTGCCTGTCAGAATACATTCTGGAATCCTCTCTACAGGAAGACTGACAGACCAACTGTTGGGGTCACTACTTGCAGAGGTTTGTCTTGCAGACTTTGACTTAGGGATGGATAAATAAAGTACACTGACACACAGAGATTATTCTTTGCTAGTTCAGCTGAGGGTCTGTGGCTGCTTACAGACTCTTTGGAGAGTGCTGTAAACAGGAGCTGCTGGTTTTTACCAGCTAGAGACACTTGCATTTATTTAATAAAGTTTAATTGACAAAGGCTTGAGTTAACACTACTAGAGTGAAGAGATTAAAGCACAGGTTCTGATGCTTAAAGCAAACACTATTAGAGGGTAATATCTTTAGTCAACTTCTCGAGATGGCTATCTGGCTCATAGGTTAGTTTTAAGACTACATGAGTAAACAAGTTAGTTAGGTAAACTTTTTTTAAATACTTTGGCTATTTGTTTTACTTATTAACTAAATGTAAGGGGGATTTACGCTGCTTTCAGCTGAAATGTCTACTGAAACTAGGAAAAAAAATTTAGGCCTTCTAAAAAGGTTTGAGACTATATAACTTTCTCTACTATTTTTCCCACCACCTTGAATGAATTCCTACAGAAGACACAGAGTGTCTACAATTTTTTATATAGACTGTTCAACATTCAGTGAAAATTTACTCAAGCATACCAAGAAACAGACAACACAAATAAACTCATAGGTAACCCAGATATTGCTGTTATTTGACATACTTTCTAGTAACTTTGATTAAGATGCTCAAAAACAGATGACAAGGAGAAGTACACCAGAGAACTGGAATCTATAAAAATGAGTCAAATAGAACTGAAAAATAACAATAAATGAAATTAAATAATATATGGGTTTAAGAGCAAGTATAGATAAAGCTAAACAAAATACTAATGAGCTGGAAGATAATAAAAAAGGCACATGATGATCATCACCCTAAGTAAGTTCTAGGTCACCAACTTGATGTGAATAACGAAAAATTTGTTCAGCTGGTATTTTAAACAGGAAACCTCTTTTATAGGTAAAATAGCACCCTGAAATTTTGAGTTAGTAGATTTTGGTTCAGTTGACAAGTTTTACCTACTACATGGGTGAATTTGGCAAAACTGGTTAATGTCTCTAAAAGTCTTTCTCCCCTTGTAAAAGCATTATGTCTTGGTCACAGGATTAAGAGGAAAAAAAGATATAATATTACCTTTTATATAAATAGTGTTATGGAACAGGTTTCTTAGGTCCTGACCTTCCATTTCCCCTTCTTCCTAGGCACATAGACTGGGTAGAAATTCCATTTCTGAGCATATATATCTAGCTGTGGCCATATGCTCAGTCCAGGTCGACGAGATGGGAGAAAAGTGATTTTTCGAGTCACCCTTAAGACTTTCTGCTTGCCCTGGACTTTCCCCTTCTGGCAGGATGCAATGCAGATGAAGTAGTCACCCAGTATAGACCACTTAGGCAAGACAGCACCCTACGGGTTGGCTGAACACAGGTCTGAACGACCTCATGGCACACAACTGCTTCATCAGCTCAGAGTGGCCACACTATTGAGCAATAGAGATGTAATGTTCTAGCATATTCGGACCATTGTATATGAGCATCTGTTTTTACAGTGGCTTATCCTTTCCCCCAGCTAATGCAGTGCAAAACAAACGTAAAGGTCTACTAAAGGCACCAAATTAAATTTTTTAGCAAGACTAAAATATTTCTACCTACAAAATATATATGCAGAAAACTCCCAGTAAGAAGTAATTCTGAGAAATGAGAAAAACACAAAAAAGTTAATGTTCTCCTCCCCTTGCCTCCAAAAATGTTCTGCTCCAAGTTCCTCCAGAGAAAAGAAACATGAGGAAAAGATTTGAGTTTATTTATGCAGAAATCATCATTGATTTTAGAAGGAAGCTGCTAGAGAAGAATGATGGATACAGAAGACATATTTGAAATTAGGAAGAAATAATGTGCAAAAGAAAAGCAGCTGCTGTACACCAAGTACTGGAGAAGTTTGGCTGACAAGTCAACACAAATGGGAGCCTAAAAAACAACACATCCAGAAGTCATTCAAAGAGTGCTGGAAGTTACCTATGTGTATTTTGTTTTCATTGGTGAAGATTCTCAATTTGAAGGCTGAGGGAAGAATTCAGGAAAGATGGAAACACTAAAGATGCCAAAAAGACACAGACTTGGGAAGGTAGCTTGGAAGGCAGGAAACCCATGCTTAAAGGAACTGGCAGCACTCTTCTCCAATCATTCTTAACTCTAAGCAACTGGGAGCTTGGGAATTGTTCTTGGGAAAGGTCTCTGCAGGAGCAATCTTTAAATAACCTTGGCTCTCCACTCTGAACAAGCACTGTCAATAACAATCAACCCCTGCAGGCCACTCCTAAAGCTGACCCACCTACACCACTTCAACTCTAGCTCCGAGCCTCCAAATCCATTTACACACAAGTCAGCTTCCGTCAAGTGAAGTCTTGTTTAAAAGCCAAACATAATGGTACAGAGGTTCCCATACATTTAATGCTCACAGGTAGAATGATGTGCCCCATTTAGGTTTCCTAATTATTTACTAAAACCACAGAAAACATATTCAAATATGTTCCAGCAGTGAGGTTCCTTCCTGCTATGATTTTAAGTGGAACCTGAGGGAAAATGCAAAGCCATGGGCAGCAGGGCTAAACAGCTGTGTAAAACTGCCACTTTTGTGGAATAAGAAACATGCAGATCTTTCTTCGCAGCTAGGTCTGAATGTCAGAGGGAATGCCTATTGCGAGTGAGAGCTGATCAAT